GATGGATGGATGGATGGATGGATGAGAAGTATAAATATATACCATTCTGACATCCTATTAGCTTGTACACAACCCATCACAGCTGCACACCGTTAGAAAATAATATTTTTTGGAGAAGTCACCTCCCAGTAAATGTGTTTTTGGAAAATATAACTGCTCACTTTTACTCAGTACTTTTAATTTTAATACTTACTGTAAGTAGATATTTGTCAGAAATTTACTTTTACTTAAGTGCAAAAAATATCAGATACTTTAAGACTTTTACTCAAGTAATATTTTAGAGAAGACTTTAACTTTTACCAAAGTATTTTTATAATAAGGTACTTGTACTTTTACTCAAGTGTCACTTTGAGGTACTTTATACAACACTGCATACACACATGTGAACTTCAGGATGCAAACTGGCTTCTTTTGGTCAGTGGTGATGAAATTTATTGCTGCTTTTTACTTTCAGATCAAAGTTCCTGAGTGACCAGTGGATGTATGAGAAAGGCTTCCTCAGCCTGGAGCCTCTGAATGGCGTCAAACCTTGGTAAATACAAACAAACAGACAAATGTGCAACAAAGCAACTGGACTTGTATTCTGTAGTTGACAACTGACTGTTTCTAAGACTCAGCTGTGCACACTTGAGGACCAAAAGAGTGTTCATATTTTTGGACAGAGAAGGCAGGTTTAGGAGAGGGATAAAGAGCATCATTTACTGTATATCAAACAAGAAGAAATTAAACAAAGGCTTTCAGATTTCAGATTTCTAAAACACAATGCAGCATTGAACCTGATACTCAGTCCTAATTTACACCTTCATGCATGTGACCAAAACCTCTCTCTGTGGGCCAACAAAAGACCTCGAGGACTCTCCCCAGTGAAAGACATAAATTGAAAATGCCAAACTGAGCATCTCACAAGGCTCTAAAAGTTAGAAATCCACTCACACAGTTTTTGAATTAAGAAAGCGACCTGGTTGAGAAGAGAAACGTCTTCAAGTACAAAATAAAAGTCCAGTTGTTGTGTTTTTGGACCAACAAACAAAAAAGTCAATCACTTTTTTTAGTTTGGGATTTTAAAGCATTTGTTTTTAAGGTGGTGGGACCTGCCTGTCCAGAGTTTACRCCTGTCCTCCCCTCTCACCGTCACACCAACCCTGTCCTGCCAGAAAACCATCGAGATCCTGAGAGAAAAGGCTTTTGACCAGGCTCCAGTCATCGATGAGTCAGGGTATGACCTCAGTGAAATCTGATTTACTGCGTTGATTCACTATAAATTAAAAATTGAATTCAATTTACTTACATAAGGTCCTCCAACTATAAAGACCTACAGTTTTTAAAGGTGTGCTTACATGGTCTGTTATCTAACAGTAATTCATTTTTTTTGTGATTCTGCAGTGAAATTCTGGGCCTGGTGACCCTGGGAACCATCCTGTCTGGTCTTCTGTCTGGAAAGGTCCAACTGTCAGATCCTGTCAGCTCAATGCTCTGYAAAACCTTCAAACAGGTCAGTCGAAGATCAGAGACACAATGTGCAACCTGTAACCATCAGTGCCATGCATACTCCTTTATTTTGTTTCACATTTGCTTGTAGGTGCATCTGACAGACAACCTGGCGAAGTTATCCTGCATCCTCAAGTCAGAAAACTTTGTCCTGGTGATGCACGATCACACTCACTGTAAGAAATCCTTTTAAAAATTCTTCTTATTAAAGATACCCTTTTTTAATATTTGTAACAAACGGAGGCAGGAACAGAGTGAAAAGTTTTGAACAGTTAATACACTCCTGATCAAAATCTTWAGACCAGTCAAWAAMRTGCAAKAATTTGCATTTTGCACTATTGGATCTTAAGAAGGTTCTAAGTAGAGCTTCACAATGTTAAAAGAAGAAATCAGTGCAAGAGACAAGAACTTTTGAGCAGGGAATTTTCTGAAAACTGCATTTACACTCAAACATGATTTTTTTTTCAGCTGATCAAAAGTTTAAGACCATAGCTCAAAAAACCCCTCAAATAAAAAAAACCCAAACAGAAATCAAAGTGTCAAAAAAAGGACTCGGTAATGAGTAGCTCCACCATTCTTGTTG